CCCCCCCCCCCCAATTTACCTATAACATTTGACATTTTCAGCATTTTGCATGGTTGTTTTGCAAGTGGGTTGTTCATGAAGTGTTTAAGAATAGGTTACGGATCTGCACTGCCACACATCTGCATCTGCATTTTCAGACCTGCGTTTTGCGTATTGGCTTCTATTCCACCCAGGAGAGCACGCAAAACACCAGCAGCAAAGCACTGCCGGAAGAAGGGTGTTTGTCCCCAAAAGTTTGCAAAGAATAATTTTCCCACCTATTTAGTTGGACTAATAAAATATATGACATTTACCCAAAGAACCTTGTCTGCCTAAAAATAAGCTAGATGTCTAGTGTGATTTAGACAGGCCGATTCTGCCTTGAGCAGGGAGTTGCTGCCTGAGGTCTCCTTCCAGCCCTATTATTTTATGAACAGATCTTTCAAGAAGGAACTTTGGTTGCAGAGGAAATAAAACTTTTTATGGCAGGAAAAAAGTGGAAGCAAACAGACTTCCATGCCCTTTGTCACGCCACAAAAGCCCAAATCCGTGTCCACGACAAGAAACAATATTCATTTATGCCTCTATTTTGCAACGGACATCCATTTGTATTAAGGCAGGAGAGCATGGGTAGCCCAGAGCTGCTTGTACTCTCAAGCTACCCCGGGGCAGACAATCCTGGAGTTTCAGCGGCCTGATCCTGCTCGCTCCTTGAACTCCCCGGAAGAGGAATTCATTTAGCAATGTCTGTTTGTAATCTCTGTCATATGCTTCTCAGCCCTGTCCTTCCTCTTATCTTCCCCTGATTGTTGAGTTGATCTCATTTAGATCATGTGCTACTCCGGGGGGTAAGGGTGGAGTTGTACTTTCTTCTGGGAAGAGTCTGGCACTTTCCCAGAGCCTCACACACTAATGGTGCATTTTAAATATCACCACTACTATAAGTAGCACTTGAGATTATTAAAGAGAGGTATTTTAAACATGCTAAAGAGCCAACAATACCTACTTACTCACTGTCATCTCAGCAATATCAATAGGATTGGCCAGGTAAGGAAGGATTCCTCAGTTCAGCAAGGACTATAAGATCCAGGCTCTGAAGCTTTATATGGAAAAGTTCTCTCAGCCATAAACTCTTTTATCCACTGGTATGATGACCCCTGGCATATCTTGTACCTGGTGCAAGAGAGATCGAGATTTACCCAGTATTTTCAGGTGGTCTGAAAGTAAGGCAGTGGTTCCCAAATCAGGGTCCGTGACCCCAAAAGGAGTTATGTCATTTAATGCGTGAGGTCATGAGCTCCACAGGAATTCAAGAATAGCAGACAGGCTCAGACCCCAAGTGGGTTTGCCACTGAAAGAGATTAGGGCATCAAACAAATTACAGCGATTGCAGAGGAGGTGAGGACTTCCCATGCCTCAGCTGCTCTGTACTAACTGTCTATGTGCATGCTCTTACCCTGCGGCAGGTGAAAGCTAAGCCGGTCTTTTAATCGCTCATTGAAAAGGGGGAGAGGGGGGATAAGAGGGGGTCAGTTCTGCTGCTCTTGACTCTAAACAATCACGTGCAACATGTTTCCTCCTGAACCGACCTCTGAGCAGCCCTAATGAAATGCATCAAAACAGGTGCCAAGCTAGAAAACAGAAAACGATCCCGCTGGATCATTGCGCTAGGATTAGGGCTAAAC